TCATAAAAAAAAAAAAAAAAAAAAAGAACTGAAACGGGTTATGTCCTTCATAAATTTGAAAAATTAAAATCAATTACTCATTAATATCCACACATATTAATTTATTCTTGTATCTATATATTTATAAATCTCGAAGCATGACCTATTTGATTGATATGTAGAATTTTTAAAGCTTTAAAATTGGTGGATTTTGATAGTGGATGATTGTTCAACATATGACTGCATGTAATTGGTGAGATGTGAGATATGTACATTAGTTGCATGTAATTAGGGAATGATGTGGGATGTGGATGTGTATATATTATATGGTTTCATGTAATTGATGTTTGGTATTATTTGGTATTAATGACACATATTAATAACAGAACAGTATTAATTTATGTTTGTTGGACGTGTTTAATCACATAATACAAACACTTCCCATTCATATTAAAATTATATAGAGAGAGGAGATATTTATGTGAATGTAAAGGGATTGATAGTTGTATGTGTTTGATACAAATGTGAAGGGTTGGAGATATTTATGTGAATGTGAAGGAATTGATAGTTGTATGTGTTACGTAGTGTTGTTTATGTGAAATTAATATGAAGGATTAGAGATATTTATGAAATGTGAAGGGATTAATATGTTGTATTCTTCAAATTAATGGGATCCCTACATATGTAGATATATTTCTGTTTCGGTACATGATTAACAGGAAGAAGAGAAGTACTCAATATAAATCGGTAGATATTGATATCTTTGTTTCTGCCACCTTATGTCAATATTTTTTATTGTAATTGTCAATATTTTTTACTGTAATTTTATAGGTATATACTATTGGTGGAAAAAAGAAATTACTCCTCATAGTTGTAATATAGTTCCCACTAAAGATAATAACTCTTTTGACATTGAATGGTATACGCCACATGAATTGCACCTGATAGTTGTAATATAGTTCCTGCTAAATGTAATGTAATGTGCTACAACTCTTTTGAATATTGAATTGTAATAGGGTAGTCGTTGAATCATAATTCCACTACAGAATTATGAGAAGCCATTTGCCGAACCATAATTTTGTCTAGTGAATTGTAAAAAGGCAGTAGCCGAAGCATGCCAAGCCATTATTTTGTCTACAATTGTAGTAAAGAAATGCAGATGCCTAACCATGCTGAGCCATTATTTTGGCTACAATTGTACATTTGTACCGCAGAATTGCAGTAAGCCATCCACCGATCCATTATGTATCAACAATTGTTGTTGACCCTGAAGATCCAGATTGCAACCATTATGAACCATTATTTTGTCTACAATTCTACTATAGAATTGTAATAAGCCATCAGCCGATCAATAATGTAGCCACAATTGTAATTGACCTTGGAGTTTATATTCTCATTGCCGAACCATATCTCACTGCCGAATCATTGTTACTGTGACAACCCAAGTGTTCAAATATTGTTCTCTAAAAAGTGTTTGATGGAATAGACAATTAAATGTAGTACATATTGTGTGACTTATGAACTTTAGAATAGGAAGTCTATTTTTCAAGTTAATTTCATGCTGTAATTATATTTTTTGCAGGCAAGTTATCACAATGTTGAATAATCAATCATAATCGTTGGCAGAGTTGGTGGATTGTGGGAATGCATAATTTCAGAATAAATAACATGTGAATAGCATTGACATGATTTTGATTAATGACAGGTGCAAAATATATTTGTAAATAATCTAAACTTTTTATTATAAATTACAAATTTGTTAAAGTTTTTTATTTCCATTGACTTTACAGAACCATGTGATTCATGCAACGATACCTAAGAACAATGTTCTGAAATTAGGAACCAAATTCATGAAGGTTTATATATTTGATCAGATATAAAAGTCATACCAGTGCCTCTTCTGTGGAAGAGATCAAATAACTAGGAGTTGTCAGTCCAAAGTATCAATTTCAATTTGTAGGTCTTTATGATCTTCAAAATAGATCAAATGACACAACTTTATTATCAGGTATAGTTAGTTTGACTTATCCATATTGTAATGTATAAAAAACTACTTTAATATGCCTAATAATCAATGACATGCAAATGTCATGGGAATTTTGATTGCAATAGGAGAAACTGAAGAAATCATATCATAAAGAGTAATAAAAGGGATACCAGATGTAGATTGAACAGTACTTCTACCAATATCAATCCCTGCTACCAACTCAAATATCTTACGGCAAGATAATTTTAGAGAACAATTACCGTTGCTTTATGGAGAAAAAATTTGTGAAGAAATCCATCAAGGTTTGCAAGTGGGAAATAGCAAGCCAATTGTAATCATTGTTGCATCAACAAACGTGAAAGAGGTCCAAGGTAATGTAGTCATATATTAAATAATATATGTTGGACAACAATTTCTGTTTTTTTACATATAGGGAAATTATTTTTGAATACAACTTCAGCATGAAGAATTTATCTCAATTTACATATTGAGGAGGTGTGCATTCTCTGCAAAAAAAAAGAAAAAAAAAAAAAAGAAAAGAAAAAGTACGTCTTTAAGAAATTGTATTTATGATATGTTCACAAATAATTGTATATTTAATATCTATGCACTGCTCATAATTGTAGTAACGAAGATATGCCCATAGTTCAATTGCAAAAGAAAAAGCTGAATGAAGTACCAATTGAGAAGGAAATGTTTCATAATAGGCATCCTTGAAGTACCAATCTCAGTGGTTTAATGTGATCATGTACAAGATTCACTAGATAATTAACTGATTATTATAACATAACTTTTTAATAAGGATTACATTTGAATAGGTGATAAGTGCTTGAAAATACCATTTTTACTTGGTGGTTTATGAGTATTATTTGTGGGAAATTAGGTTCAAGTGTGTGATTTGGCTTAATTATTTCATAAATATTTTTTATGAGATCACGGATATGTTTTGTGTGTTTTCGGTTATAAATGCTTAAAAATAATATTTGGATGTAGAATTAGTGGTTGATGGAATTTATGACAACTAGAAACAAGCGATTCGAGAATCGGGTTTTTTTTTTTTTAAACTTGGAAAGATATATTTTTTTTTTACCAAAAAAAAAAAAAAAAAAACCAAAAAAACAAACAACAACAAAAAAAAAAAAAACAAAAAAAAAAAAAAAAAAAAAAACAAATAAAAAAAAAAATTTCTTATTTTTTTATTATTTTTATTAATTTTTTTTTTTTTATTTTTTTTTTTTTTTTTATTTTATTATTGTTATTTTTTTTAAAAAACCAAAAAACAAAAAAAAACACAACAAAAAAACAAAAAAAAAAAAAAAAAACAAAACCACAAAAAAAAAAAAAAAAAAAAAAAAAAAAAAAAAAAAACAAAAAAAAAAAATTTTTATTTTTTTGTTTTTTTTTTTTTTTTTTTATTTTTTTTATTTTTTTATTTATTTTTTAAAAACAAAAAAAAACAAAAACAAAAAAAAAAAAAAAAAAAACAAAAAAATTTTTTATTTTTTTTTTATTTTTTCCAAAAACAAAAAAAAAAAAAAAAAAAAAAAAAAAAATTAAAAAAAAAAAAATTTTTTTTTATTTTTTTTTTTTTATTTTTTTTTTTTTTTTTTTTTTTTAATTTTTTTTTTAACAAACGAGGGAAAGATATGATGTTTTGAAGATTTAATTGTAAAATCGGAGAAAATTGTTTAAGTATGACATCTCCTGGTTTATCTTGGATGATTTCTGAAGCTACGACCTTCAATTTTGTATGATTTTCAACTGTTGGAAAGCTCATGAAAAGGGCTACAATTCATATGTTGATGACTTGTCAACTTCTAGAAAGATCATAGTAGAGAACAATGACGTCATGTATACCGCAGACAGATAGGTTCTGGACAGAGATGGAATTGACGTTGTGCGCATAATCGTGCGTGCACAAGCATAACCCATGTCACGACACAAGTGGAGATGAAATGAAGACGTAGAGATGTCGTGGCACAGATTAACTAATGTCCAGCACAAGGACGATGAAATTTAAGCTTGTGCGCATGCCGCGAACCACATGATTAACTCATGACCGCGGCAGTGTCTGGAGTCCAAATTTGCCACGAATTCTACTACGTTTTAGCCTACTTTCTCAATCCTATTGAATAGATTGACCAAAACATCATCCTAAAAAAACCCAGCACTATTAAAGGCAAGTCGTTGCTTTTGCCATCAACACCGGTGCATGCCATAGCGCAACACCACAAGGCCAAGCGTGGCCTTAATTGCCATTAGGCACTACGACCAATTCCCACCACCGATCCATGTGTTTATGTTATGGATTCAAAATGTGGGGATTTTTGGATTTGGGTTTAGGGTTTACATAATTTGTAATTATTTCTAAATTAAATGTGCTTAGAGTTCACTGAGTACGGTTTTGAAGTAAAGAGGGAGAGAAAAAGATTTGAAAGAGATGAGTATAAAGTAAAATTTTGGGGAGGTACTAGGAGATGAGAGAGAGAGAAATGAAGCTCATTGACAAAAATAACCCCAAATCTGATAAAGTTAACAGAGGTTTGTGAGTCACTGGACGAACAAGTTCATTAAAAATTCTTGTGCGTTTTTATGTTAATAAATTCTTACAATGAAAATAATACCCATTACCTAAACTCAATAATACTTCCAATTTCCATGAACAAATAAATAATTATTTTGAAAAATTTTATGTTGCGGACACAAGATTTGATGATTTGGTTAGATAGGTATCTTAATACTACGGTAATATTGTCTAAAAGAGGCTTTTAATTTCTAGAAACTTGAAATTGGCCTTAGATTAACAATGCAATAGTTGTAATGTGCCTATCCATTAAACAAAAAAAACTTTAAACCCTTAAGCCTGTATAACAAATGAAATATATAGTCAGAACAAGTAATTTTAAAAAACAATTTCATATATGGTAGTGAAATCAGCAAGCATCTTTGGATAAGTACAAAGTGCGTTTCAACTTTCAACCACAGTATTAACAAATTAAAAAAAAAAATAACAATAAAAAAAAAAAACCCCCCCTTAAATCATCTTATCAACTCCAGAAAAACACCAATCTAGATGAAGTCGGAGACTTCCTGGTGGAAGGTTTGGCAACACATCCATCAAATTGTCTATAATTATAGGATTTGGATCAACCAATGGTAAGAAACTTTCGATCTTTACATCTTTTAAGTAATGACGCCAACACTTGAAATCACAAGAATTGCAACAGTTCAAATCCCTATTCGTCAATATCACATAAATTGACTGCAATACAAGCAAACATTAATAAGTCATCAAGATGATAAATAACTTAGAAAAATACATTGTATACCCAAGTTAGCATCAATCTAAAAACAAAAAACAGGATTAATCTTTATCAATATATCTACTACCTTTTATAAGAATGCTAATTCTCAAAAAAGAAAAAGAAAATAAATAAAGAATATGACAAGAAACAAAAAAAGAAATAAAAATAAAAAGGTCTTTTCAATTATATACTTCTTACAGTTTTACTCTAGAGTAAAATTTAAAAGACGATAAAACATCCAATTAAGAGCTTCCACATATCTTAGTTAAAATGTAATACTTTCTCAAATCCAAACTTGTTCAGTGAGAGACCTTATATGACTAAGAATGAAAAGATGATTCTAAAAAACATGATTCTAAATTCTATTTCTTCTCTTACCTTTGTTTTTCTTCTCACCTCATGATAATTAACATAAGCATATCAATAACTCTTCTAATACTTGCATCAAAAAATCAATAATAACAATATGTCCACCTCCACCATGATCATCTTTGAGAAATAAGAAACTATAGTAAACCTTTAAAAAAAAAAAAGACCAATAATAAGATGATTGTACCTCAATGAGGTTGATGTGATCCTTCTTGTCCCATGCTTCTACACTCAAACACTTGGGATAGCAAATCCAAAGGAGAGCATCCAACAGAGTTTCATAATCTGATGGTAATATTGTTGGAAATAAAGACACATAACAAACTTTATAGGGTGGTGAAGGTGAAACCCTTCGGAATTCTTCCAAATCAAACAAAACCTTGATATATTGCACCAGACAAGAACAATGAAAGAAAAAGAAATTAATAATAATATAAAATGCAAAAATACAGGTGAAATGTAAATAATCAATTACGTTGTATTAACAAACACACCTTATTCGATGTGCAATATAAAGTTAATTCTTTAATCTCTGTAGAAGCTGCTAGAAATTTCTTCAACTTAAGACACCAAGTAGTGTCAAGATCACCTTCAATCACCAATCTAACCATCCATGGACATGGAGCATTCATTGATGATATAGGAAGTGTATCATTTTGGTAAACAAAGGAAAGTAAATTTGGAGTATCAACATCAATTGCCTCCAAATAACTGCAGTTACCGATACTTAAATTTTTAAGTCGATCACTTGAAAATTTAATCCTTTCAATGTAATGACATGTTTGCATGCTAAGATTCTCCAGCAAGGGAAATTTTGAGAGAAAGTAATGAAACTCTCTATCACGAAAAATACAACATCCAAGACGTAAATCTTTCAATTGTGAACACCCATTCATGTCAATCTCACATGACCTTTGGTACAACATAAGATCACATTGTTGAAGACCTAGAATATCAATTTTAACTCTTTCATGTTCATTGGGGGCTATTTGAATATGCAAAATCTTGAGCCCATCAGGTTTACAAATGTAAACACATTTCAAACCCCAACAGTGGAGAAAATATAATTCTTCAAGCAAAACACAGTCACTAGTAATCTTCTGGACCATTGGTTCACTTATGTGGACTCTAACTAGTTTTAGTTTTTTGAGAAAACAGAACCTTATTGTATCAGGTGGCTTCTCCAACTTAAAGCCATTTAGCTTTAAAGTAGTTAACAATTTGGCAAAAAAGATTATCTGAGGCAGTATGTACAACTTATTTTCATCTGTTTTTATAGTAATATCTAACTCCTTCACATCGTTCTCTACTGCCAATCTTATCCAATTTTCAAAAGAACAAGGCAATCCTTCAACATCAGCAAGACTTATAAGTAACCTAAATGCCTGCATAGAAACCTTATGCTCACAAAATCGAAGCAGGGAAACATCAATGAATTTCATAAAATTCTCTATACGTTCACAAAACTCTTCTTCACTTGCCAACCTCATGTCCGAGTCTGTTTTAAACAAGTCAGTTTCATCGAAATTAAAGATAGGGAACGATGCCCGCAAGTGATTCCATCTCTTTGATAAAACACTTGTTTGAGCTACCTGTTTTCTGAAGAGGTGAGACATCATTTGATGAATGATAAAAGGAGGAAGGTATGAGATTCGATCATCATCCATATTTGTTTTTAAGAAACCTGCAATGTCCACACATTTCCGGCTCCAAAATTCAGTATATATTCCAAACAGTTTCTTATGATTTTACTAAACTTCAGTACCATACATAGAGAATGAAAATTTTTAATAAATTATATCAAAAATCAAGAAAACTGAAAAAACCCGCCAAGAAAATTCTTCTTAGAATTATAAAATTCCAATACTAAATTTCATACTGAGCCATAAGATTTTACCACCACGTAGTGGATACGTAAATGTACCAAATTATTATGAATAATACCGTCAAAAACCTAAATCAAAGAATAAAACAACGAACTTGGACCAAAACAAATTCTTTAAAAAGAAAACAAAAAAGCACGAAAAAAAATCAGGGTAAGATTTTAAGATTACATACAAAGAAAAATTTAGGCCAAAAAAGCACATATGTATCCGCTAAGAAAACAAAAAGTAACGATTACGAAGATGAAAGTAGTAAGAGGGCGTTGTACCCGTAAATGTGTTCAGGTGGCAAGGAGTGATAAGACCTTACTTCCTCTCCGGAAGAACTTCAGAGCTCAGACCCCGCATTTGATTCTCAAATTGAGACACGCGATTTTGTTAACCGTAACATGTTAACTTATTTACTTTGTGTGGGCCATGGGTTGGGCCTCTTAAAACCGGTCCAATGTAAATTGATCTAGGTAATAATTTATTTTTATTTTTTTGGTTAGATATGGTATGAAAATTAACTTTTCTTTTTATATATACATAAACAGGGTTGGGTTATAGTAATTAAAATTTTTAACTTAATTTGATACAATAATTTACAACCATTCATGAATTATAATCTAAACATGGTAAAATAACAAATATTGTATATTTTTTTCTTTCATTATTCGACGTGTTATATTGTGTAATGATTGAAAATTATTTTTATTAGTACAAATTTGTTGTGTGTGTGGTGTGGGTTGGAGCAATGGCGAAGCAAAAGAAGGATTAGAAGGGAATCTTCGGTATTTTACTCAAGACTCAAGAGATTTTAAGTTCGAGTTCCTCCTTGAAGGATTTTAAGAATTGAAGAGGAAGAAAAACAGAGGAACAAACCAGGAAAAACAAAGTAAAGACGGGAAGAAAGAAAAGCTTCTGGAAAAATGTATTTCACTTTATTTTCAGTTACAAAGTCTTAAAACAAAACAGTGGTCAACTAATATATAGTGACCTCTTCTTACAAAACGCAGTGTTTTTATAGTTGTCTTAAAACACTGCGTATCAATTGGTTGAATACAAGACTACTTCACTCATCACAATATTTCCCTTTAAACAAGACTACTACTCAAGTCTGTCACTCATCACAACATCTCCCCTTAAACAAGACTACTTCTTAGATCTCTACTGAGCTACTTAACTCATCACAATATCTCCCCTTAAACAGAGCTACTACTCAATTCTGTCACTCATCACAGCATCTCCCTTTACTTATCAACTATGAAACTACTTTCAAGGTTCTGATTCAAAAGCTCCAGAATACAATAACCTACTACCAGAATTACAAAAGGTTGCTCTGATTCAAAATCTTCCAGAATACAATAACCTGCTGCCAGAATTACAAAAGTCTGCTCTGACTCAAAAACTTCTAGAATACAACAATCTGCTGCCAGAATTACAAAAGGTTGCTCTGATTCAAAATCTTCTAGAATACAATAGCCTGCTGCCAGAATTACAAAATTCTGCTCTGATTCAGAAACTTCCAGAATACAACAATCTGCTAAGTAATCTTTCACTCATCACATCATCTCCCTTTACTTATCAGCTATAAAACTACTTCCAATGTCTGATTCAAAGGCTTCCAGAATGCAATAATCTGCTACCAGAAAAACAAACAAAAAAAATCTACAAACAAAAACAAGAATCGGCTACCATTGAATCATGGCAGCATTTGCACTATTCTTCAGATTCAATAGACCTGCTTGACACATCCTTTTTCAACATATTTTCTACAGTAGGAAACACATTTAACTTATCTCGAAAAAACTGAAATCTGTGAGCAGGAAGAGCTTTTGTAAGAACGTCAGCAATTTGATATTCAGAGGCCACATACTGCACAGACAACCTCTTTTCAGTAGCTAATTCCCTCACATAATGGACATCAATTTCAATATGTTTTGTCCTCGCATGGAAGACAGGATTAGAAGAGAGTGCCCCTGCACTCATGTTATCACACCATAGCACATGAGTTCTATTTATTTGTAAACCAAGTTCCTGAAACAGATTTTGAATCCACACCAATTCTGTGGCAGCTTGACTCAAAGCTCTGTACTCTGCTTCTATGGAGGATAAGGCTACCACCTTTTGTTTCCTAGAGCTCAATTGGACTAAATTTCCTCCAAGAAAGATTGTATAACCAGTGGTTGATCTTCTATCACTCATATCACTGGCCCAATCAGCATCAGTGTACCCTTCTAAAAGAAAATTATGACTTTTATGAAAAACTAAGCCATATGTAATAGTACCCTTTATGTATCTAAGAACTCTCTTACATGCTGTCCAATGAGCAATGGTAGGATATTGTAAAAATTGACTTAGCTTGTTTACAACAAAAGCTAAATCAGGCCTAGACATAAGCAAGTATTGTAGCCCCCCTACCACACTTCTATACAAGGATGGCTGTTCAAAAGGAGCACTATCCTCCTTACCTAGCTTAACACCTGTTACCATGGGTGTACTACATGGTTTGCAGTCTGCCATGCCAGCCTTTAACAGTAGATCCTGAGCAAACTTGGATTGAGTAAGTAGTTAGCCTGAGTTAGTTCTATCAACCTCAAAACCAAGAAAATAGTTTAAGGCACCGAGAGTCTTCAAGGCAAATTTTTTTTTTAAATCTTCAACAATCTTGGCAATTAATCTGGAATCAGTTCTCGTAATAAGAATGTCATCTACATACACAAGTAAGTAGATGACTTGACTCTCTTGTTTGTAATAAAACAAACTGATATCTGAAACTGAACTAACAAAACCCCATTCAAGGAGAGACTGCTTCAGCTTGTCAAACCAAGCTCTAGGAGCTTGCTTTAATCCATATATAGCTTTGTTGAGCTTGCAAACATGAATAGGAACGGCAAGTCAAAAGAAAACCCTTCAGCTGCCCATGAATACAGACTCTGTCAACTCACCATTAAGGAATGCATTATTAACATACTGTGTGAATATCCATTGATACTGACCCATGATAATATATTCTGATTGTGGCAGGTTATACGGGAGAGAAAGTATCAAAATAATCGAGACCTAGGGTTTGTTGAGCCTTTGGCCACCAACCGAGCCTTTACTTCTGCAAAGTACCATCAGCCTTCAATTTGGTTTTAAAAACCCATTTACTCCTACTACATTCATTCCTGAAGTATGTGGTACTAAGCTCCATGTACATTTCGAGAAACTTGAATTCATCCTCCATGGCTGCTCTCCATTCTGGATGGTTAGTGCCTCTGAAGCATTTGTTAGGTTCAGTTAAATAGTATGTTGGCAACATAAGCTATCGGACAGAATGAGAACCGTAGTTTTGGACCTAGTCATCATGGGATGTTTGATTATGCACTTGTTGTGAGGAGAAATAGCAACACTACCTCTAACTGAATTCCTGATAACATTGGAATCAGACACAATATCAGGCTCCTTTCTTAACCTAGCAGAATGAGTTTCCTGATCTGATATTATTATGACTAGAGCAAGTCAGTCATTGCAGTAGACTTATTGGGCAGATAGACCTGAATTTTCAGCATTCATACCAAACTCTGTATCGAAACCTTTATTAGAAAGAAAACTGTTGATTTATGATCACCTAGATGATCGAAGCATCAGGTTGAGCAGTATTAGTATCAAACAGCGAAATATCAGGACAAAACTTGCACTTTGTGTATCTAGGCTGAAGGATGTAAACTAAAATAATGAGGAAGATTCCAATAGCACTTTCCCTCTTCTTGTGAAACTGCAGATCATTATCTTTAAAAGAATACTCTTAAACCATCCTTAAAGGGAAACTCCTTCATTAAATTTTGCTTGTCTGACATATAAATTTTTCCTGATGGAGAGAGACACTTATCCTTTGTGTGCTGTACCATATCCTATAAAACACATTTCCAGTATGAATGAGATTTTTGTTTCTGATATGGTCTTATGAATGGATAACACAGCAGCCAAATACCCTGAAATCAGTATAACTGGTTCTTGATTGAACAATTTTTGGAAGGGTGACATGTTGTCAAGAGGTACTAAGGTAGTCTATTTACCAGAAATGTTGATGTATTAAAGCTTGCCACAGAAGGAAAGAGGCATACCAGCAGTGCTAAAGTGTCACCCAAATTCAGTGATGGTTCTATGCCTTCTCTCTACCTTCCATTTTGTTGATGCAATAAGGGCAGGGATTGTCTAAACCAATACCATTAGCTTGAAGATATTCTGAAAAAGATCTAAATTCACCCCCCCAATCATCTGTAAACATCTCATCTACCTCCTATTGTTTCTCAACATAAAATGAAATGCATAAGATTTTCAAGCTTCAGACTTTTGTTTTAGAGGATAAATCCACATGTACCTGCTATAATCATACAAACAAAATGTAATATCTAAATCCCTCAGATGATAATTGGTGCAGGCCCCCACAAATCAGCATAAACCATTTCAAGAGGGCTAGTGGTTTTAAACTCAGATAAAGGAAAAGAATTCTGATTCAGCTTACCAAATTGACATGCTTCACAAAAACTTTTATTCTCAACACTTCCTTGTACATGAACTTTATTTAGAACAAATTTCAAAGTTCTCTCTTGAGGATGTCCTAACCTAGCATGCCACAAGTCAATGGACTATAGGTACATCTGAAAGAATTTATTTGAATTATTCTAAGCACTACACAAAAACTGGACAATCTACTACTATTCTTAACTGTTCTCAACGGGATGGCTATATGACAATTTCATTCAAAGTTTTATTATCTGGACATATGTAGAAGAATCCACATAGGTATGAGATCTGAAGCTGTACAACCCATCTTCAAGTGCCCTTGTAGTAGGATACTCTGGTCATTTATCCTTGATTAGACACTATCAGAAAAAAATTCAACAACTACTCCATTATCTCTAGTTTTGAAGATACTTAAAAGATTTTTAGCTATATGTGGTACACATACCATTGTCTTGAGATGTAACAACCTGGACAAAGATTTGAAGGTAAGAAGAGGTCACTATGTGTGTTAAGGAACAGTTGTGTCCATTCCCTACTTGAACCGATGATCTCCCTGATAATTGTGTTTGAGCAGTAGATTATTTGCATCAGAAGTCATGTGGTGAACTCCTGAATCAACATACCATGTTTGATCAGTAACAACTGTGGAGTGGCAACCTGAGGAGTGACAATCTGCACGTTGTTACCCTGACCAGCAGCACACATACCATGCTCAGGAGTGCTATAAGAAGAACCATGACCCAACGTGTTGTGATAAATTGCTAGTGTTCTGATGATGACTGTTATAAGAGCCTAAGCATGAAGAACCAGCTAGTTATTCTGTGAAGGGTTAACAGATAACATTTGAACTCATGGATGTAC